TATACATATATATATTTGAAAATAAAATTCTAAATTTGATATGATTTGCTGATGTTTTTAAACAAAATTCATATGTAATTTGATGAATAAAATAATATATTATCTTATTTATTTATAATTTAGTTAAAAAATGGTTCATTACATTTGCTACAGAACATTTGGTATCATTATCTAATTATGAAAAGAAAACACTTTTTCATATTATGTATAGCAGGCATGTCAAGCTCATATCAAACAAGTATCAAATGGGCAAAATATATTGAAAAAATTAGGTATGCTGCCCTACAAATTTAACATAAAGAATTATTAAAAAAAAATCTTATTCTATATTTMAATTACAATTTATTAAAAGATAAGACAGTATAATAATGTATAACAAATAAACTATGCTCAAAGAATCTATGATAGCTGTGATACGGCATTAATATTTTATTTTTTTATTATTATATATTATATTTATATTGTTTTTGTTCATTGATGTTGGTAGCAGCAGCCACAAAAAATTGAGCTAAGGGCGCTGTGTTTGACTTTGACATAATACATATGTTCTAACCCCACAAATAGATAAATTAACAGAATAATAGTTATTTCTTGAAATGCATATGAATTTAATATTTTTAGGCAGGGCCCCCACAATAGGGGGGGCTGTTAAACCTGGAGTACATTGGTCCGTTGAAATTAATTTTAATTTTTGATAGAAATTTTTATTTTATATTAAATAATAATTTATGGGATCATCAAAAACTTTTAGTATAGAGGCTCAAAATTTGAAGTGGGGAGGGCATGATCTCAGGATAGAACTTCCGACCTACTGTGCAAATTTCTAAGTAAAACAACGTTCAGGCTGATAAGAAAAAGTTGAGATAGTTATTTTAGGATTACCAATTAAAAATAAGTTACAAAAGTACTTATGTACATCACTAAAAGAATTTGCATTGCATTATTTTTTCTATTCAGGTCAGTTAAATGTATATTTATGGTCTGAAAAGTCTTAACCTGAAGTTGTCTATTATTTACCAAAATAGTTATCAACTTCATGTATTGGAAGTTATTGACATTTTACATAGATTTCAAGAAAAAAATATACTTAATAAAATAGATTTTTTGGATTCCAATCTTTGAAGTATAATGTTTCTTACTCATGCCTTATTGTACGATTAAAAAAGTACCCTTAGGTATAAACAATATACAGGGTGTCCCAAAGAGATCTGACATTCTGACAAATGAAATAACTTTTATTCTAATCAATATTTTTTAAAAATTTCTTTTAAATATAATCCATAGACACTTGCGCTACATTTTTTATTTTTTAATA